CGGCTCGGCTCGGCTGGGTCGGCTCTGCTGGGCTCAGCTCGGCCCGAATAAAAAACCCTCGTCCAGCGGCTGAACGTCGATGGGTCGGGGCGGAGCGTAGGGAGGGTGTCGGGTCCTCTGCTCCGTCCCCATCCATCCCATTTCGCGGATCGGCCCTCCGGCCTGCCGGCCACCCCCGCCCTTCACGCTAGCCCTTTAACGTCATTGGGTCCCGCGGGCGGGGTCCCAGGGGGGCCTCGGACGGCCCCGCCGCCGCCCTTCCCGGGGCCCGCACAGCACAGGGCCGGGCTGGCGCGGCAAGGGCTCACGGGGTGATCAGGGTCAATTGATCGAAGAGGGCCCCGGCCCGGCCACACGCCTCCTTGAATCACTCCCTCCCTCCACGACCCCTGATCCACCCTCACCACGCCCCCCTCGGTGCCCGGACGCCCTTTTCGTCTATTTATGGGCGCAATGCAGCGGCGTGGCGGGGCGGGGCGCGGCCCTCCAGCAGAGCAGGGGGGAGCCAGGCAGGCCGCGCTGGCCCATTCACTCATCCATTCATTCGCGGCCCGTTGTCCCTCGCCCGCCCCGCCCCGCCGCGGCGGTAGCCGAACTGCTTTAGCCATTCAGTCGTGTGTGGGTCGCTCGGGCCATAAAGTAAGTGGCTCGCTGCAATGAGCCTCCCCCTCGCACGTCGCCGTGTTCGCGTACTCGCGGCCGCCAGAGCCCCGGGGCCGTCGTCCTGCTGGCCCGGGCGCTCTGGCTGCCGCTGGGCGCTGCCGCTGGGCTTGGCCAGGTCACGGGTCAGCCTGCTGATCATCACTTGAGAGCGGGCGGGGCGGGCGGGACTAGGCGGGACGCGTTGACTCGCACGCGCGGCCCGCCTGACTCAACCAATGAAGGCGGGCGGGCTGCAGGCGGGCGGGCTCCAGGACGGCAGGGACTTGTGCTGCACGCGAGTGCGCGCTGCTGCTGCTGCTGCATTCTGGGCCACCGCCCCCGCGCCGCCGCCGCCGCGGCAGAGGACGTGACGGGACGGCGACCACTCTCACTCGGAGAAAGGTGGAGTGGACGAGACAAGGGATCGGCTTCCATTGGCTTCTCGTCTCGTGAATCGCATTGCGCCGCCAACCTTGCGGCAATTGCGGGGCGGTGAGAACAAGGAGTGCCCTACCCGGAGGAGGACGCTTACTTTCTGCTTGCGGCGCCCCACAGCAGCGGCCTGTGTTGTATACAGAGCACCCGGAGGCATACTGTACCGCAATGCACGAGTGTCCGCGTTTTGCGAACTAGCTCGGTACGCAAAGGAATCATAGCAAAGTGCGCCCGTTTTCCCTCCGATTCATTCGGCCAACGGCGGGAGCTCGGCGCCTGCGAGGTTCAGGATAGGCCACCCCGCACGACACGCGTGCACTGCAGGCAAAATGTGGCCTACCTGTCGGGCGCTATGAGGGCTTGTATCGGCCAAAGCTTAAAGCTTGGGCGGTGCGTAACGGCGAACTTTCTGGATGATCTCTGAAGGCGTCATGGTCGTAAGACGACTGGCAACTACAATCTCTTGACAGGGGGATGCCCCTGCCGCAGGGCTTGTAATACAAGAAAATGGTAGCGACGACGACAAACAAAAGAAGGGGCGATCCGGGCCGAACCGGGGGGTATCGATCACCGCAGGCGTCCCATCAGGTGATGGGATTCAAGGGCCGCGCGGGGCCGGGGGCCGGTTGCCGGTCACACGCAATCCGATCTCCCTAACCGAGCGCTGCCCCCGCGCTGCCCCCGCGCTGCCCCCGCGCTGCCCCCGCGCTGCCCCCGCGCTGCCCCTGCATGCACAGCCAACATTCGCATGGCCGAGTCACAACAGCGCCACATTGGCATTCGCATTGGCAGCCGGCCGGCGCCGCGCTCATCAGACGGGACGGGCGCCCCGCCCGAAACCAGCAGCACCAGCGGCCTCTGCTGCAACCTTGGCTGCTGGACACGGGCAGAAACAGGTCGTCCAGGCCGGGCCGTCCGAGCGCGCAAAAACAACCGCGCGGATTGTTTTTAGCAGATGATGATAAATAATAAAAAGAGTATCGTCTCAACGGCGGAGGAGAAGGCAAAACAAACAACCAAGCCGCGCGACTGCGGGCTGAAATTCTTTTCCTGCCAAGATCGAACCGGCGATAACGGGCAAACACAAACACACGAGCGCGACAAAGCGGGGAGCGCCGAGGCCGCACCGGCCGGGCTTCCCTCCCCGGCGGCGCTGGGAGGGCGCTGGGCACAAGGTACCCGAGGGAGGGCCCAGGGGAGCGGCCCCGCGTCACCAGCGCCAGCGCCGCGACGGTCAACGGCCCCCGTACGGCACGGCGCGGTGTGGTGTGGTCCCGGGGCGCCCCGCCGGCCCAGCCCTCCCGGTGCAGTTAGGCGCGTGCAAACAATGCAGCTGGCTCCTGTTTGCCGGCCTATTGAGGCCGCCTCACGTGTGCTTCACGTGACGAGGCTGGCGGGGCCCGGGGCCCGCGACCAGCGCGGCGGGGCTCTGCAAACCCAGTTAGCGGCGCCGCCCGTCCCGTGCGTTCTCCCTGAAGGGCTCCCCGCGCGGGGCCCCCGGGAGCAAGGCCCCCCGGGCAGGGCGAGGAGGACGCCCCGACACCCCCGGGGGCCGCCAGCCGCTATCGGCCGGGCCCAGCCCAGCCCAGCACGGCCGGTCGAACTCCACCGACACACTTGTGAAGGGCGCACTATGTATTGGCGAAAGGGCGGGGCAGCAGGACATGCTGGGCTGGCTGCTCGGGCCGGCCGCCCTGCACCCGACCACAAGCACACACGGACACGGAAACGGCGCCCAACCCAAACCTGCTCGAGCCGGCTGAGCGCGCCGGCCGCGGATCGCTCACCTTCCCACGAGGTCGGTAAGCCCCGCCCGCCCCGCCACCGCCACGCCCCAGGACACAGCAGACGACACACGCCATCAGCGTATTATGGGCGAGGGGCCGGGGGGCGCCGGGGGGCGTCCTGACGCCGTCCTGACGTCACACGGCCGGCCGTCTTATCACGGAGAGATCGGAGCGGAGAACACCGTCGCGATAAGGGCCCGGGGGGGGGGGGGGGAGGGGGGTAGGAGGACAGGGGATAAGACTAACGACAAACGGGATGGACGACCGGTGTGGCGTCCATATATGGATTATATCGGGATGTGACATTTGTGACATATCGCTGCCGGGAGCGGTGACACTGCCACGTCACGTGACACTGAGTGACGGGCGAGGAGGGCGCGGCGGTCAACCCTACTGGCGCCTCCCATTAATACCGCGGGGCGCCGCCGCGCGACGAGGTGCAAATCAAACATGACGTTGTCACACCGTCGTCACCGTGCTTCCCCGCGGCGGCGGCAGCAGCAGTGCGCAACCGATACACGGACACGCAAAAAAAACAAGTGATGAAACAAAATGGCGACCGTTATTAGAGAGGGACTACAATTATTGTTTCCCGTTCGTCCGATAGCAGCCCCTGCCCTCGCCAGCAGCGCGGTCCAGTCGGCCCCGCCCGAGGGGGGCGGTGGCGGGCGCAGGGGGTACGTAACCCTCGACTGTTTTAGGTCGGGGCTCAGTCTGCTTTAATTGCGGTCGACAACCACAGCGAGCCCAAGCGAACAAGACAGGCATATCATTAGTCTCTCACGTGTGGCGGGGCGGGGTGGGGTGAGGTGGGGTGAGGTGGGGTGAGGTCGGGCGCGGGTGTGGTGGGGTGCGGGCGTGCTCCCAGCCCTAACGAGAACGTGTCCACTGCGTGCCGTCGCACCTCAGCCAACGCGACGGGGGGAGAGATGCAGCGCACCTTGTACACATACACCACCACTTCCTCCTTCGCCACCATTCAAAATTAGAGCAGCGAGCGCAGCTCGCGGTGGAGTGAGAGAGACAGAGAGCACGCGGGCACGCGACCCAAACAAACAAAACGACCATTTCACCAGCCTGCCCCCCACGTGGGCCGCGACAGGCATGCACGTCGCGGAGCAAAGTCCACTCCACTTCCACTCCGCCACCCTCTCGCAGCGCGTCGCCGCTCCACCGGGCGGGACTGTAAGTAGCAGTGTTCTCAACTCGGCTGGGCAGCCATGGGGGCCCCCGCCGCCCCCGCCGCCCCCGCCGGCACCCTGCCCAGCCCGCCACTATCATCCGGATAGGATTGTAGCGAAGGAACCTCCTCACGTCGCGCTTTGTTCAGCAGGAAACTTTATTGTTCCAGTCCCGGGGAAGAGGAGTTAGAGCGGCCGTGACTACGGGGCGACAGGGGGTGTGCAAGTGTGAGGAGGGAGTCTCCCGGAAAGTCCAAAGTGAGAGACAAAGGAAGGGCTGATGGTCGCTCGAACCCTTTCGCGACGATGGCAGCGACATGTTGTCGAACCGGCCCGGTATGACCGCTGCAAAACGCTTTCGGGGCTGATGTGCGGCTCGCAGTCGCGGCGTTCGCGCGCCGAGTACCGCTAGTAAGTTGCCAATTCGTCGAAATCAAGTCGTCAGTCGAGTCGAGTGTACAGCCGGCAGCTGAGGACGGGGCGGGGCGGGACCGGGGGGGGCCTCACCTGCCTCACCTTGGCGTCCAAGAGTGGCGTCTCGCTCGCACACCAGGCGGCGGCCGGCCGAGTCTCACACGGGAACCAACACACTGTACTGCGCAAAGAATCTCTCTCCCCCTCTCTCTCCCTCTCTCTCACACGCAGGCGAAGGCGGCGCGGCAGAAATAATTGAGGCGAATTACGAGTCTGGGGCGGACTTTTCCAATGCCTCGTTAAAAGCGAGTCTGTGTTGACAACACACTGGAGACTAGTATTCAGAATCAGACCTCTTTCATTAAACACACTCTATTTCTTTCTCTCTCTCTCTCTCTCTCGCACACTTCACTCACGCTCGCACACACTCCTCACACATACACACACACACACATTCTCGAGGACGAGCACCGAGCGACGGTTGTGTAACACGTGCACATTATCCAATCTGCACGTGTGCGGCGGCAGCAGCGAGTCCAACCTCAGAGGCGTCGCCAATCTTGGGTCAACGTCCAGCATCATATATCAGCCCAGCAGGGCAGAGGGAGTGTCGTCTTCGGCGAGCGACGCTGGTGTCAGCGACGAGGAACACACACAGACACACACACACAGAGACACTGTCGGAGACACTCGCGGGGCACAACAGCGATAAGTCCTTGCACGCGGCGTGCCACCTCGCGACGCCAGTACGCACTCCGCGCCGCGCCCAGCACCGACCCGTGCCGCTCCGCGTCTCAGACTCGACTGCCTGCCTGCCCGGCTGCCCGGCCGGCCCGGTGCCTAGCCCCCCCC